GCTGATTGTTCTGAACTCTCCGCTTTCTCTGCGCGTGGATGATATTTTTTCAACCTCTCGCCGTCAATTTCCTCCTTTATGTCGCCCCACTGTACCTCGAATGCCCCTGGTCGCAGTTGTCTAACAATGATGCCCGGTTCGCGTTCCCATTTTCTCCGCAGCTTTTCCGATACTCCTATCTTTTTATTCGGGTCAAAACACAAGACTGCATCGCCGGGTTGTAATTTTATGGGCTGATGGCGGTCATCAAAGGCCGCCTTGTGGCGCGCCTTTGCTTTTGTCACTTCCACCCGCAAAAGCTCTCAACCTGTGTGCAACTCTGCGATTCATTCTGAGTATCCTAAGATGTTTTCTCCCTCCGGGATGAAGCAAGCATCAATGCTCATACTGCATTCCACCCCGAAAAGTACTGCGTACGGGGGGGATATATGCGTCTCCGAATTAGGCGCAATATTCATCGCCATACTTAAAGGGCGCAGCATCGTATCCCAGTCCTTCGGATTATTCGTCTGCGTGTAGCAGTTTATCATAATAACCATGGTCCTGTGGGAACGCTCAACAAGCCCTGGCGAATGTACCCCTGGTGTAATAGAATGGGGCCATATCACTTACGTTTTAGGGCCACATTCCATTATGCTTTCTAGCTCATTCGGGCCGAAAGCCATCGATTTCGCAAGTGCGGGCTGTGGCGAGCATTTGGATGTTTAGAGTATCCATCTCGGAGCGCCGATGTATCTCGCAATCACGTCTTTGACGTCATCGCGTCATCGGATGCTACGAGATGTATGCTCTCGAGATTCGCGGCGGACTCATTCGTATCTTCGAGGCAGCGAGTATAGGAGCATCTAGCCAGTGCATCTTGTGTATACTGTTGCATTCTATATCGAGATATACATCAGCTCTACCAGTTTGAGTTACGTGTACGGATCATTTCATCCCCCCCCCCCCATAATATGATCAAACTTCATTGCGTAAGTGTATCTCGGAACTTAGTGCGATTCACGAGATGTAACTAATATAATACTACTACAAGCAAACCACACAGATAACAACTTCCACGGTATACACACAGAACCACACAGAAATACACTACTACAAAGGGGGGGGGGAAGGTTTTCCCACGCAGGAAGAGCCGTCGGGGACGGACCGTAGGACGGGACTTTCGGCGAGGGGAGGGGTAAAAAGCTCAGTCTTGGGGACGAGACGCGGGACGGGACGATTTGAGGAGTCAATGACTCGGGAAGAGGGTAAAAGACTCGATCTTCTTTTTCTTCAATCTCTTCTAGTTTCCGAGATATCGGCGTTTTTCGTCCTTTTTTTCTACTTTTTCGCAGCGTTTAAGTCTCCCAGTGCCCGTTAAGTTGTTAAAACCACTCAACTGACACTCTTGCTTGGTCCGTATCCCTTCACCTCGACACTAGACCAGTAGACCACGTACTCAATCCTTTGGACCTTTTTCCTTGAAATCCCCTGGTGTCCAGGTGAAGTTTCAGGATATTGTGGTCTTCTCCACTGACTTTACCCACAATATATAGGGAATTTTTCTAAGTCCAAATCTCTCCAAAATTTTTCTAAGTCCACTTTTCTAGTCGGACTTAGAGAATTTTTACAAGTTCTATCTTGTTCGTTATTCAGAATTTTTCTAAGTCCAGCAGTTGACCGTCACTGTCCTCCTGCTGTCCTGATACTCTTGGCTCTCGTTTCACTGCTCTCCCGTCTTCTTCCAGCCACAGGGTCAGCCCTCTGTGGTGTTTTGGTTATTAGGGTTGATACTGGACTGGGAGTGGCCAAATTTAGATATGGGAAGACCTGAGTTGTGTGTTTTATCTGTGGTTGAGCTAGGGTATGGGCCGGTAAGAGAATCTCATTAAAATGACAGCAAGAAAAGTAAATCGCTTTAGATGAGGGGAAGGCTATATTCAGTGGAAGAGGGTGTATTCTGATGAATCTTAATGAATTGAAAGAGGGAAATAAGAATGCCAAAGCCGAACAACATAAGTCACCAAAAACCATGCACGTCTACAGCAGATCATTTTAACTTTAACATGGACAGTCAGTAGACTGTATGTTTAGAATTTTAAACAATTTTTTCGCATTGCACTCTTTTTTGTACCATTGCTCGCCCCTACTTGTGTTTCTTTTAGATGCTGTGATGTATTTTTAATATGTGTCTGTGACTTTGTGCCATCAAAAAATATAGAAGTGGCATTCAATCTTAATTTAATTTAAATAAAATTATCATGGAAGCATGGATGTCATGGAACTTATCATTTAACCATAGCTGTATCTACCAACCGTTTTTATGAACACGAATTACCAACAGGGACCATTTTCGACCCATATTTGGACGTATTTCTGTCAAACAGAACTATGTGCAGGGGGAAAGATGGGGTGTGCTCGTTAGTGCTCGGGCCATAAGAATGAACGGGAATTAAGCGCCAGTGACGAAGCCACCGTCGCGCCTCGTCCACCCGCCGCTTAACTCATGAGCCCTGTCCACAAGGTTCTAGATACATACCTACGGCTCATGGAAGCTGCACTTAGTTGGCTGACAGTTCCGTTTGTTGAATTGCAGAAGCGGGATTTCACGTTCTGTCAAACGGAACTAGGTGCGCAGCGTATGAGCCGTGGGTATGTATCTAGAGCGTTGTGGACAGGGCTAATGAGTTGGTGGGCCGTGGAAGAAGCGGCAGTTTCGTCACTGGTTTTTTTCAAAACTATATTAGAGCCCGATTCTAGAGGATTTTTGTGGACCACTTTGTGAAGCACAGCATTATAGGTGCCAAGATAGGAAAAAAACAAATAGTTCAATAATTCTAGAAGGCAGCCTGCACATCTGCTGCATGGCTAAATGGTTCACCCTCGGCCTCGTTGAACTGAAACAAATTCTTCGTTCCGTTAGTTCAGCGGAATTAAGATGCTAGAGAAAAATGTAGGTAAGTTTTGAATTTTTCCTTGGTTGATAAATAATTGATTCTGATCATGTGATGATGGTTGGAATGAAATTACTATCCCATCTTTAAATTGAATTTTTGCACGTAAACCCAATATTGATGATGAATAAGTACCTTCAATGAAATGGCGTGAAATGGCAGGATTTTTCGAGAACAAAGCATATGACACCGACGATAACACGCCGTATACGTGGGATAATTGAGCTTATATTGAAATGCATGACTCGTCAGGTGTTTTGTTGCAACTTGATTTGCGTCACGAGCGTGTGCGTGATGAAACGCGACGCTGCTTGGCGCCACCAAGAACCGAAAAATTAGGCCAGGCGCGTGGTAGCTAAAAATGAGGCTACCTGGAATTTCGGGTACATTGCGATTTTTTTGGCTTACTATATGTTTTTTGGGTCGCTAAATCCGAATCTGAAGTTTCCTACCGCGTATCTGGTCAGCATTTTCCGCCATTTTGAAAAAATCGCCTGAAAAGGCCTTTTTTGCGGGTTTTTTTTATATAGCGGCTACGCATGAGAAAAAGTCCCAGACTTAGTTAATGTTTCGAATAGCTGGCGTAATTTGAAAGAAAATGGTATATACATATGCTAAAGTTCCTCAAAAAGTGAGGAACTTCGAAACTCGGAATTTTGGAACGCTTCGGAACTTGGCGGACAGCGGCGAGCCGGACCGAAAATCGACAAGCCCAGCGTGCATGGAGGCTATTTCCATTTTATGCTTCCGTCACATTCTAACGGTGCAATGATACAACTATTTGAACTCTCCGGAATGCGTGAGGTATCACGCCGCATTTGAAGGCGTTTTCAAAACAGCCAAGTTCCAATACCCGGATTATCGTTTTGCAAAGTTCCTATTATTATGTTTTATTCCGTACTACTTGTTTATTATTAATCCTCGTATAAAAACCATCCATTTGCAAAATACAATTCTAGCTGGAGCGCACTACAGCTATGCATTCATGACTGCAAAAATGTCAAAGGAAATCGACAAGCCCAGCGTGCATGGCGGCTATTTCCATTTTAATCTTCCGTCACATTCTTACGGCGCAATGATACAACTATTTGAACTCTCCGGAATGCGTGAGGTATCACGCCGCATTTGAAGGTGTTTTCAAAACAGCCGACTTCCGATTTCCGGATAATCGTTTTGCATAGTTCATATTATTTTCTTTTAATTTCTAACCACTCGTTTGTTTGAATCCTCCTATAAAAACCACCCATTTGCAAAATACAATTATAGCTGGAGCGTTTTTCAGCTATGCATTCACGACTGCAAAAATGTCCAATAGGCCAGGCGCGTGGTAGCTAAAAATGAGGCTACCTGGAATTTCGGGTACACAAAGATTTTTGGGTCGCCGAATCCGAATCTGAAGTTTCCTACCGCGTATCTGGTGAGCATTTTCCGCCATTTTGAATAAATCGCCTAAAAAGGCCTTTTTTTGCGGTTTTTTTTATATAGCGGCTACGCATGAGAAAAAGTCCTAGATTTAGTTAATGTTTCGAATAGCTGGCGTAATTTGAAAGAAAATTGCATATAAATATGCTAAGGTTGCTCAAAAAGTGAGGAACTTCGAAACTCGGAATTTTGGAACGCTTCGGAACTTGGCGGACATCGGCGAGCCGGACCGCGCGTTGACAGGTGCGCTGCGAAAACGTGAGTAAGCGCGATGTTCACGATGCTGCTATCTTCGTCAATTTTTAAGCAAACCTAGCATATGTGTACACCATTTTCTTCCAAATTATGTCAGCAATTCAAAACATGAACTAAATCCGGGACTTTTTCTCATGCGTACCCGCTATATAAAAAAACCGCAAACAAAGGCCTTTTAAGGCCATTTTTTCAAAATGGCGAAAAATGCTCACCAGATGCGCGGTAGGAAACTTCAGATTCGGATTCAACGACCCAAAAAACATGAATTAAGCCAAAAAAATCGCTGTGTACCCAAAATTCCAGGTAGATTTACCAGGCGCCTGGACTAAATGAAAACATTACGCCTTTAAAACATTCTAGAAATGAGAGAAATGATTTTAAGTCAGGGCGTGAAATAATATTTTGTATTGATCACAAGGTTTATTAACATTTAAACGTTTGCTTATTATGAATAAAAATAGTCAATAAATTATCTAACAACTGTACAATTTGGCTTTAAGTAGCAACAAAGACAAATAATCGAAATATTATGAAAAATACGTCATGAAGGCCAAAGCATCATAAAATGATATAACGGAGTATAAAATATCATTCAAAAAGAAACACCATATTATTTTCTTAATATAGTTCACAAAAAAGAGCACCTTAACTCCCAAGTTAATTCAATTTTCACACCTCAAATTTGTATTCTATGTTAGAGGACAAGGAAATTTCAATGCAGGATTTCACAAAGGTTACCGTACCTGTTGGGTAATAAGAGCACCTAAAAATAATAGAGAAATAAATTGTTTCTCCCACTAGAGAAAATTAAAATTCATAATAACAACCCTGAATCTAAAATACAAAAGAAAAGCCTTATATGATGTTCCAGCTTAATTCTGGACATTTCATAACATCCTGTACAAGAGGACCCAACCCGTGATAAAGGATAAACTACTGTTCAAGGACCAACTGATGGACATTGACCATCAGTTTTCTCGTACCATGGTTTAGTAAGCTGCAACAAATTGTACATAAGGAGGAAATCAAAATTGATGTAATAGCTTTTTCTGGAAGTTGAAAGCACGACTCACAAATCAAGGATGCAAAAGGGGAAGGCAGCACTGTGGAACGAATTTGCGAAAAATAATTTACCTACAAGTGAGTATGCACGTGGTTTTAAAATTGTTTTAATGATCTGATGCGTATCTTCAAAAAGTTTCATGCCTACGAGATTGGTCCTTTTTTATTGTGCTATTGTAAAACAACAGTCATCGTAAAATTGATGTCCATGCGGAATGAAGGACAGTTTTTTTATTTCAGCCCTCGGTACTTGTCTATAGTTTTTGTCTCATTTGACAGTTCTACAACTCTCAGCTATTGTAATAAATCCTGTTAATATCAGTTCGTCGCATCGAATGAACATATTGTCTCGTCTCATTGTCCCAAATCATCTCTTGCTCAGTGCACGGGTTTTCTTGATGAAGAGGGGTTTTCTCAAATGATGACTCGCGAGCAACGAAATTTGACGCAGTCTTGTTTTTCAGTATTGACTTCGGTCCAGGATCATGGTCCGTATGGTATGTTGTGACAGGCTTCACATTGAAGGTGTCACACTCTTCACTTGAAATGACGGTTTGACGTTCCTCCCGGTCAATGTTGCGCACGAAACTGTCGCAGGACTCCTTCATTTTGGTCAGCTCCACCTTTGAATAAATACAAATCATCATTAGCTTTCTGCTCAAAAACAACAAATTTCAGAAAGTTATGAGAAATGAACACGAAGCTAAGAAACAACCCAGCGATGATGTCCCGTAAGAATTTTGCCCTCATGTTTCCAAGTTTAAAATAACTGTTTGCCCTGCGCTAAATTTCATTTTAAACATTCCGTTGCAGTGATTTTTTTTTTCTTTTTCTTTTTTTTTACCTAAGATTAATGTAGGTATAATTTAATACCTTGAACTAATAGGTGCGGTCATTTTCCGTATAAGCTCAATGGTTACCTATATCGGTATAAAACATCGCAAGTACTGCAATGAGGGCAAGCACTTGCGGGCCCGGGCCCTCGTGCTCATGCTGAGCTTTTCACCCCCCCCCCCCGCACTGTACGGCTGTACGGACAAAAACACGTTTGTCCCAGGACAAATTGAAAGTGCAGGTATCTCGGCTGGAGGGATATTTTTGGTCGCCGTCATAGCTTCCTCGGCGATGCAATGTGTAAAACAACAACAACGTGTTTATAAACGGAAGCTAAAAATACGCAACATCAAGACCTCGTTTTTTGTGGGTTGATATCCTTAAAATCAAAATCCAGTAATATTCCTGTGAACTGAAAATGACTTTTATCTGTTAAAAATTCTCGATTTTAAAGTTGCTCAACAAGCTGTAGCAAACTGTGTACAAAATATCGATGCTTGTTGAATTTAGTAGGGGAAAAAGTTTCTCGGACCCAGGGTCCAAACTCTTCAAAAACGTGACAAGAACAAATACTCTCAATTCCATCGGATTTTTGCTTGCTTCTAGAGGCAAGCCACTTAATTTGAGCAGATATTTTTGTATTCAAGTAAAAATCCGATCGAATTTTTTTTTTTTTTTTTTTTTTTTTTTTTTTTTTTTTTTGCCAATTTCAAATAGCGTATCGGCTAATCCCACGCTTATTACCCCAGCCCCAGGTGACCATTGCCTGAGACCATCAAACTCAGATCACCTGGCCGGGAATCGAACCCGGGACCTCTTGGTCATAGGGCCAGCGCTACAACCACTACACCGCAGGAGGCCGACTAAATAAATAAGAATAATCAATAGTAAAATAATAATTAGAATTAAGAATATTTTTTCTTGTCAAATTTTCTTGCCGGCTGATTGTTAAAATCGGTAAACAAAGCGATAGACAAAGAAAACAAAAAATATATGAAGGGATCCTATCAGTGAAAGCAGGTGGTTCCAATGGACAAAGGAGGTAGGTGATAGACTAACCAACGGCAACCCACAAGAGACCCTTTTGTCAGTCCATCATTTTCTCCCTTAGTCTATAAGAACCACCCATTTGAACACTGAAAAAAAAACACATTGGATTTAGAGTCCAGACTCTTGAAAACATCGACAAGAAAAAATACTCTTGATTCAATCGGATTTTTGCTTAAATCAAGAACCAAGCCTCTTAATTTGAGCGGATTTCCTGTTGATTTAAGCTAAAATCTGATTGAATCAGCAGGCTGATTATTTTCCGCGTCGATATCCGAGTCGATAAGTTAACGACTCACGGATAACGACTGAATTCTAACGACGTCCTTTAGCCGAGTGATTATTTACATCGAAATCCGCTGATCGTTACTCATCATTCGATAAGTTACCGTCGTTAAGTTAGCGATCTGGGATCCCAACGTTGCCGACGTGAGAGATAATAATCAACCAATCAGAGAGCGTTTATGATACAAGCAGCGCTCCAACTGCGCGGCGGCGTAAGTTGAAAACAACACATCTCTTTTCTTGACGTCACGCGGGTATGTTTTTAGGTTAGGTTAGCTTGCCGCGAATCGTTAGCTTAGAGGTTGCCGTGGAGCAACCTTTAACTTATCGACGGACTCAAATATCCCGCCACGGTTTAACGATCGGCGCGGAGTGAAATAATCGCTCGATTATAATTTTGCCGCTAACGACGGCGTTAACGTAACGATTTCAATATCGACGCGGAAAATAATCAGCCTGCAGGAGTATTTTTTCTTGTCGATGTTTTCAAGAGTCTGGACTCTAGATCCAATGTGTTTTTTTCCAGTGAACCAATAGGATCGCTCCATACTCCTTATGTCTGCTTCGTCCATCAATTTCAACAATCAAACTGCTGGACTCCAGATACAAGAAACTTTTTTTGCCAGTGTTCTAGGGTAGATTAGATCATCTTAAAACTGGACGTATTTCTACCAAATAGACCTATGTGGAGGAGAAGCAATGTAAAAGTGGGCGTGATTCCTTTTGTAGAATTGGAAAAGCGGGATTTTACATTCTATCAAACAGGCCTATGTGCCAACTGAATGCGAGATTCATGAGCCGCGGGCATGGCAAGAGAGCGTTGTGGACCGGGCTCATGAGTTAAAGAGTCCCGCCAACGACCCTCCCGTCGTTCCGGAGCTCCCTCGTTGCCGCTGACGTCACTGGCGCTTTATTATTCTCATTCACTCTTACGCAAAGGGAACTAACGAGCACACCCCATATTTCTCACTTGCACTTAGGTCTGCTTGGTAGAAATACGTCCAACTGTGTGAGGTATTACCTGAAGAGTCCGGTACTCCTCGAGGAAGCGCTCTAGTTGGGCGGCGTGGTAGTCGTACGTGGTGGAGGCGATCATGGAGAAGCGGGAAGCGGTGCGCGTCGGCTCGAGGATATTGAGGATGGGCGTCTCGCAGAGGGAGGAGTGGCGCTTGTTGAGGGGGTCGAGCCGCGGTTGATCCCTCTCCCGGTGCCGGATCGGGGAGCTCGGCAGACTCGGGTTGTCGCGCCGCCCGTAGACGCTCAGCTCCGGGGCCAAGTTCAAAGAAGTCGAGGAGTTCATCTCCGACCGCACCGCTAGATTCCTGTAATCAAACGTATGCCAAGGCCCGTTTTAATCAATTAATGAAGAAGAAAACACCAAACAACCAGGAGAGCTCCTGATGTCTCTTTAGAAGTTGCTGTGGATAGGCGAATTTGCTCCCTATATCTTTGCATGGAGAGTTTGTCTTGACGTAGAGGTGGACTCTCAGGATAGCGTGGGATATCCCCTCCATTTTGGCCTCAACTTGAGAGCTTTCTTTGAGCTTGGGAGTTGATACCAGAAAAAAACCAGTGGCACCATCGTGTTTCGCGCGAACTTTTACATAAGAATCAATGGTCAAATCGCAAATCCCTCACACATGCAACATCCCCATTAATGAAGAAGATAACACCAAACAAGCAGGAGAGCTCCTGATGTCTCTTCAGAAGTTGCTGTGGACAGGCGAAACCTATGGAAAAACTCCGGTTCATCCCACACATCCATGGGGTAGATTCTGGGTCTTATTAATGGAGATGTTGCATGTGTGAGGGATTTGCGATTTGACTGTTGAATATAATGTAAAAGTTCGTGAGAAACACGATGGTGCCACTGGTTTTCTAAGCTCAAAAAAAGCTCTCAAGTTGAGGCCAAAATGGAGGGGATATCCCACCCTACCCTGAGAGTCCACATCTACATCAAGACAAACTCTCCATGCAAAGATAGGGAGCACATACATTAGCAGGGTTGCTGTGTTTTCAGTTTTAGAGTCCCCAAATAAAGTGGCAGCCTTGTCAACGTATTTGCTCCCTTTCTTTGCATGGAGAGTTTGTCTTGATGTAGATGTGGACTCTCAGGGTAGGGTGGGATATCCCCTCCATTTTTGCCTCAACTTGAGTGCTTTATTTGAGCTTGGGAGTTGATTTCAGAGAAAAACCAGTGGCACCATCGTGTTTCGCGCGAACTTTTACATAAGAATCAATGGTCAAATCGCAAATCCCTCACACATGCAACATCCCCATTAATGAAGAAGAAAACACCAAACAAGCAGGAGAGCTCCTGATGTCTCTTTAGAAGTTGCTTTGGATAGGCGAAACCTTTGGAAAAACTCCGGTTCATCCCACACATTCATGGGGTAGATTCTGGGTCTTATTAATTGCGGCCTCCTTGGCGGAGGAACATTGTCATATATTTCCCCTTCCCCGTCCGAAATGAAATCAAAGTTCATAAAAATTTTCACAAACTCAAACGACTTTCAAATAATATCGCCCGACGGCAAGAACATAAACTTGGCCAGCAACAACGATGATGAACGACCTGGATCTGACCAAAGTACAACCTCATACTGTCAACAAACTACTGGTCAGGCCCTAACCGGCAGATAGCCGTCGCTTTATCTGCTAATCAGCCAAATCATCAGTTTTTGACCACTGGTTTGACGCAGTCATCGGTCGTACAGCACCAATCCTCCGGTCAGGTCATAGTCAACCAAGCAGGTTTGACAAGCAGATAACCGGAGGTCGTACGAACGGCCCTTAGAAGGGGTGACCTGGCTAGGCTGGCTTGCTGTGGACGCTGCTAGATCGTAAATTTAACTTCAAACCTCTGATGTTCATAGTTAGCCGTCCACTGTCTGTCCTCAGGCCAAGAACCCCGAAAACCGCGGGCTTTTCTACAGCATCGGCGAACCGGCGCGACGCCGCCGCGAGGATGATAACCGCTTTACGGCATGTGCCGATTTTTAGCCTGCTTGTTTTATTCACAACCTCTGCGAAGCGCTGGAATACCTTCCAACGCTCCTTCGAAGAGTTTAATGATGCCAGCAGCTGCTCACCCGGTCCGAACTCTGTGACGACCCCCTTTCCTGATTCCACTTGGGGCGGTAGAACATCGTATGCTCTGCCACCTAACGAACAGAGGAGCAATTCCACATCTCCTTCGGGATGTTTGTTCCACAAAATAATCATTAAATTTCAAAATCTTATCGTGTAATGGGCAATTCTTCATAATAATAAACCAGGCATCATCTTGCTCATCAAGGTCAACTAATGCCAAAGAGGCATATTTTCTAATATGATCTCTTATGGCAGTATCAGCTTTATACTCAACGCTGAGACCCAATCCCTGAACTTTCCTCCCAATTGACTGGTTAAAATGAAAGTTACACCCGTGCAATTTTGCGTCAGAATATAAAGACAGAACGGATATGACAGTACTCCCAAGATCTAAACAGAAAATTTCTGGCTTCCACGTTGGAAAGCCTTCTATTCCTAATTTTCATAAATTTCTGGCTTCAGCCTTTGGCCTCCACTATGGAAGGGGAGGGGGGGTTCTCAGGTGGCGGGTGTGATGGTAGAGCTCGGAAACAACAAACTGGTACGATTGACTTGATATATTATCACTTTCGACTTTCAGCCCTCGCTTCCAAAGCAGCTTCGCACTAAAACTTTGACTAATACTTGAATTTCAAAGTTGTCTCTCAACAACTCACGCGTAGGACTGCGGGCCTTCGGTTACACGTTAGACCCCGGCCCATCGATTGATCAACGGTTTCATAGCAGCGGGCGAGGCCCTCCATGGTCAAGACCGAATCTTAAGGCCAAAAATTCGGCCCCGGAAAGCTCGCCGCGCACCGCTACTCAAAACAAATCGAGCAAGAACGTGCCGGAACAGAGGCCGCAAACTCTACGCGCGAAGCCACCGAAAACTGACCAAATTGGGCCCGCGCATCAGATGTACGGCCCCGTTTCATGGAGGACAAAACTACCCAAAAATCTTACCTTTTATTGTAATTGGCCATTTCGAGGTCCATTAAATGATTTCTGCTGGATAAGCTGCTATTCTCCATACTACTTGCTTGACTGCTACTCGGCAGAAGGGGTGATCGACTGTGAGAACTCTGAGAACTATGTGATTGCATCCTTCAAAAATGAGAAATCAAAATATTTCAATCAATTCAGAGAATCACGTCTCCACAGTGAGAAGCGACCCTAAAAAATGTAAGGCCATACTAATGACCAAAATCGAAAACCAGTTATCTTAATAAAGGTATACCTAAAACATTTCCGCGCAGTATATATTTTCCAATAAAGTCGAGTCATTCTCTTGCCCAGCACTTCCAGTGAATATCTTTAAAATTAAGTAATATGTGGACATCCTCTGAAACATTTAGAGTAAGAAAACAAAAAACTGATAAGCCGTGAGATCATAGTATGGAATGCTGCTGGATACCGAGGTACTCTAGTTGATAATTCACTCAGTAAGAGAGGTAAGTTCTTAAATAAAGTGAACGTGATATCTAGAAAGACACAGTGTTTGATTATCCACAAGAGACCAAATTGGGACAATTTCTTCAATTCTCTTCCACTTGGGTCTGCTGGACAGTCAAAAACCATTGATCCATGTGGAAGTAAGAAAATCAAGATCTTTGGTGTAAAATCGGAGAAAATAGACGGCAATACACATCGATAGAAACGCCTAATCCTCGAGAAGTCAATCATGGACATATTTTCCCCGTAAAATCAGTTGAATTCGAAAGAAGAATACATGGTTTTGATTTCCAAGAATTTCAAAGTGGTTGTCGGATGTCTGATTGGCTGAAACGCAAGCGCGGGAAGACTAGGCGGTCCAAACTTTTGCTATTCAATGCGGACACCTATTTTCTCTTTGGCGCCAACATAGGTAAACAATCGCGTATCCAAAATTCGCATGCACTCCTGACCCTGAGACTTGACACAGGAATCCTCGATGTTTCACAACGTGTTATGCTCCTGATGCAGATCCCTCCAAGTGGATCAGTAAAAACCTCCTAGGTCTTTAACCAATACCATTATAGTATGGCAACTTCATAATAACCGCCACTTCCCCATCCTTCCACTACGGATGCGAGTAACTTTACTCGCAGATCATGCGGCTTAATATTTCTTTGGACCCTCTTTGATAATATCGGCATCAGTGTCTAAGATTATCACTCACCTAGGTAAGGTACTAAACATATGTCTTTGACCCGCATTACTTGGAGGTGACGATTCCAATAAGTCCGGGAACGTTTTTGAGCTTTGTTTCGAGGTGGTGTAGAGTCTCCCTGACGGCAGAAACTCCTTTCGGAGCACATGGTGCTTCAGCGTTACCTCTCCGAAGTTTTCCTCGTAGTATGACCGAATAGCCGCATCTCTGTTAAAATAAAAATAGGACTCTAGTTAACATTGAAATGAGGAGTATTTGATGAAAGCAATACACAAACACAAGAATGCTATGCCTGCATTTTCATTTTCATTTTTGCCTCCTTTTACTTGCCAGCCCAGCAGTGTTCGAAACTCGAAGGCGCCAACGCGCCAAATGCGCCTAAAAAATCGGCCATGGCGCCTTAAAAATGAAGGCTTTGCGCCAACGTGGCCCCTAAAAATTGCCTACTCAAAATCTGGATTTTCACAGAAAGTCACATAGAGAAAGAAAAACAAATCTATTTGAATTGAAAAAACGCAGAATTTTCAGCACTACAAGTTAAAGCTTGCTTTTTCTATTCTTCGCGATTTCATCATTAGTGCTTTTTGTCTTCCCCAAGTTACAGCTAAATACTGGTCCTGTTACGAAAACATCTTGCGTCTAACTTTCCACTAAATGCGCCGTAATATTTAGGCAAAAAGTCAATTTAGCCCCTAAAAAGTCTTTAATGGCGCCTAAAAATCTGTCTTGATGCGCCACATGGCAGCTCAAACTCAAAGGTGAGTTTCGAACACTGCAGTCCAGCTATGACGACATTCCTGGCTCAACTCAATCTCATATCCTTTATCCATTCGCCAAGTGGAGAAATCTTAGGTACTCGCCAAGTGCTAATCGCAGGAAAAGTTCAGTCAAAAGACTGGGTACAACGAAAGGAAAGTTAAAACGCGCTACAGAAAATTTAAGAAGTTTCAGATCAATGTGCTTCCGGCAATTAAATCATCGAGGCATAATCAAAACTTTGATCTTGTTGCAAAGTGTATCACTAATAATTCAGCCTCCCCTCGACGAGTGCGTGTTGCCACGTCTTAAAAAAAATTCTTGCAGAGCAAAGATTATTCTCGCGGTTCTGCCTGGCAGCGGATTGGGCTCGGCAAGGCATCATCGAAGTTCCCGCGGATACAGGAAACATCGAAGCGCATGCTGAAGGGGAGTAATTACAACTACAGGCTGCCTGTTTAAATGGTTGCGGCGGAGTAAACCGATGTGTACTCCTCAGGGAACCGTGATATTCCGTAACGACAGCTTTTGCCAAGTTGATCTGGAAGGCGCAGACAAAGTCCGGGTTATCTAACTCTTGACGTCGTAAAACCCGCGTTTCACATCATCGGTCTTGTGAACGAACATTTTTTTTTTTTTTTTTTTTTTTTTTTTTTTATAGAAATCAATATTTATTAGGTTATTTACAAGTTGAAACTATGGGAGACAGGCCATAGCTCGAAGGCCTGTAAATACATTCTGAAAAGAAACCTATATGATTAATTTACATTTTTAGAATAATTTCACCCCTTTAGAATTATGTTCCCTTTGTAGAGTTACATACTATTTACATATTATGATGCAGTTGATACATGATACGGTTTCTTGAGAAGTTTCCTGATGTTTCTTGTTCGTCTTGATTGAATTATGATTTCTTGGTAACCTCGGAATCACCTATTGGTATATCATCGAGGGGGAAGGGGTTGGTAACTAAAGTTATCTGTTGTTCTTCATTCAGTGCTGCGATGTGAACGAACATTGGAAAATCTACGGGGACGTTGGACGGTGGCGGGGACGCAGGGATGGTGTACGAGTCCCACAACTCATGAACGTCCAAGATAAACGGTGAATACTGTAGACGGTAAAAATAAAGATTAAAAAATACATGTTTTAACTAAAAAATCAAGTTAGAGTATGCCGAGTTGAGACCAAAATTTGAGCTTGGGGTTTAGGGATGACCTACTGAGGTTTAAAATTACGTTTAGGGGTGTACTCTATGCTTCAGAATGGTGCTTGCGGTCACGATCCTTGTTTCCGCTAGGGCGTCTCTCTTGTGTGGGTGGTTGAGCAACCTTGGACCCAACAGCTGATTCTACCTTCTGATGTTTCTTCTCGCAAAGTTAAGATGTTTCAGCACAGAAAGTTAAGATGTTTCAGCTCAGAATCTGGTCTCTTGTCTCGTTTCGTGTCGTGTTGATGTTGGTTCGCCAGTGTTGCGATTTTGTAGGCTGCCAATTTAGGGATTTATGGTGGCGGTTTTGTTTGGTGCAACACGTGATATGTGGCTTTCTCGGAAATAAATCTTTGGGGCAGTGATGGAGCTGATTTATCCCAAAAAAATTTAAACTCGCGATCACGTGCTGCAGCAGCAATGCGTTTTAGGTTGTTAGTGATGAAAGTCTGTATGGTTGTTGCTGTTTGTGAAACGTTGTGATATGTGGCTTTTTCGAAAAAAAAATCTTTGGGGCAGTGATGGAGCTGATTTTTCCCAAAAAAGAATGTCAATTCGCGACCACTTGTTTCAATTCAATTTCCATGGGCCAATTTTTCGTTTCATAAAGGGTGTAACTCATCACACATACTGTCCGTGTTCGTTACCGTATCAAAATGTTGCGTTGGTGTTTCGTACGAGTGACATTTAGCAACACTGAGGAAAGCGTCGCCACGAGGTATTCTGCACTGGTCCATAATTTGGTATTCAGAGACCAGGGAAAAAGTTTGACTCTGTCCTTGTCGATGATTCTCGCCACTCACTCTACCATATCTCACCCGCTTCTCCTGCACGTACCCACGTATCATCCGCCTTTCGCTTGACGCACCACTGAAATCTAATTTTGATTTCGTGACGATTGAGTTACAATATAGGCTTTGCTCACTGCTGTCACTATTCAGTATCCCGCGGACATCATGCGCGTTTTTTTACTATGTTGCCACCTCATTTTACACCATGCAGTCAGTTTAGTCTGCATAAAGACGATTTACTTTAAAGAAATAAAAGATAAAAATTGCAAGACATAAAATCAAAATGTTTTGGAAAAAGGCGGTAAAATACCAAGTGTAAATTACAAGTCAAGGGTCTCGCTAGGCTCCGCGTCAATCAAACTCTGGAAAAAAGAAACATCGTCCGAATGGGACGCGGTAACGATCCGCCGCAGCAAATTATCGGGAAAACGAATCAAATCTCGCCATAACGCAGAGTTAGACCGCCCAGGCCTGTCAGAATGTCGCAAGAAAAAAAAAAAGGCGTCCATGCTCCGCGCTTCAGCCGCAAAAGCCGCGCCTCAATCCGTTTTGAAGACCGACGGAACAGCTGGTGAATGACGGGATCCTTAGCAAAATCGGATGGAAGGGAAAGCCCCGCGCCGCGACCAACAAACTCACACACATTCACAAAGTCCTTATTTGCAAGAGACAAACTGTTGGTTCGAGAAATAACTCTACGCAGAGAGGCATCAACAGACGTACAATCACGCATCTCACACACACGCTGCATCGTCACACAAACTATCATCCCCCCCATAATTTGATATTTGTATTTTCATCCCCAAACTAATAACTAATTTACAAAAAAAAACTGATACATCCGCTCCCCCTGAGTAATCTGCTGAGCGCGAGCAGCCGCCAACTGTCGGTCATCCGAGCGCCTTGCGGTTTCTCCAGAATTGCCATCCGTCCAGTCCGAACCAACAGTTCCAAACA